ATGCCAAGATCAAATAAAGAAAGACACTCAGATACCAAGGCAACCTTATAATGAGAAATAGAAAGGAGAGATGGAAATTTATCATTACAAAGGTCCTCCCACCAAATGTTGTGCAAAAATTTAGTTCTTTACCTCCAGCCTCATGAGCTTGATGATCTCTGGATATAAAGAGGGGATTGCTTTCCAAGGAGCTGTAAAAGTGGTTTTAGCAGCCAAACCAACTTCCCATCCATCAGCGGACAAGCCATATATGCTCTTGATCACCTTGTTCCACAATGTATGAGCCTTGGTCGAAAACCTCCACAACCATCTGGCAGGTCTTCGTTTTTTAATCCAATGTTCGTATTACCCCAACCTCCTCTTTATTTCTTCTGTTTGTACCCTAATTTTTGAAGAAATTCCTTTTAGTCGTTCTTGGATGCCACAAGAAATTTGTCTTTATATTTTTTGATAATTAGAAATATCATTAATATTTTTGATCAACAACTATAGATTTTATGAAATTAGATAAACAATGAGGGTTCCATTATTTGGTGTAATGATAAAATCTTGGGATAGCAAGTGTGGAAACATGGGCTTGAGCTTTGGAGCTGCCACTTTGTGCAAAACAATGACAAAGGTTAGGACTGTATATTGGGTGATGACCCTTTTTATCGAGAAAATGTAACAGATTTACAATGAACCTCTTGGGAGATAAAAGTTCCATCCATCCTCTCTTTCTTTGTTTACAATTGAGCCCAAAACATTTGAAATCTTTCATTAATTTCTGTAGCCTTTTCGCAATTAATGCAGCTTTCATTGTTGGGTTGGAGTTTATTAAGGTGACTCCACCACCTCGTCCTCCAGATTGACTCTCAGAGTACAACTCGTTGCCCAATTGACTCTTAAGATTTTTTTTTGATAGGAAAATTATCTTTCATTAAGCTTGGGAATTATAGAATTACAACTGTCACCTTCCTAAATAAGGTGACCCCTTATAACATAATCAAATTGCAAATTACAAGCATGCCCAAAATATATTCTCCCTATTAACTCCTTGCTTGCTAAATCATCAGCGAAGCCATTTTCTCGGAAACTGACTCTAAGGTTTTTTTTTAATCTTTTAAAACACTTGATTTATGATTGTAGGTTCCTAGCTCCTCCCAGTCCAGATTCTTCATTGAAAATGATAATGTTGTCAGCAAATTGCAACTGTGTGCCATTTCACAGTCTCTCTGCCTATCCTCCAACCTTTCAACAAGTTTAGCCTATCTTTTCTTGCAATAAGTTGACTGAGGACATTGACAACAATAGTAAAGAGAAAGGGATAGAGGGTCTCCTTGCCTATGCCCTCTCTTAGTGGGGAAAATTTTTTAACAGTGCCATAGACATATATTAAATGGTGGCATGCACTCAAGCATCCCTTTCAATTTGTCTCCAAACCCTCATTGCCTTAAATCCATATCCAGGAAAGACCAATAAACTAATTTATAACCTTATTCTAGATAAGACACACACATCAAGCCTCTCTTCCCTGTTCCCTCCCCTTTTAATATCTTGTATACAGTATACACTTATTGGCCACCAAATTTGGTTTACTATTAACCTTTCCATAACTACGACTCCTTGTTCTTGAGAGATGATATATGGAACATAGTTGTCAAGGCAATGCCTAGGCGATAAGGTGCCCTTTGAGGCTCGCCTCGCCTAATCGCCAAGCAGTTTTCTACTTCCTACTATAAAATACTTTTTTATTCATTCTTTTTTGAGATTATAATTATAAAATAGACATTATTAAACTAAAATAATCATTTTGTGTGCTTATATACTAATTTTTTTTATTATTTTCTTATTTATTAGGGTTTAATCAACACAAACATTGCTAAATGCTGTATTGGACCCTCAGAGACTTAAAAACCTGAACCAATAAGTAAGGAAGAACTTAAAATTTTATCTAATCAGCACATTTTCCTCTTCCATACATTCTTCCTCTACTACTTCTACTACTACTACTATCAATACTTTTATTCTCTTCTTTTCCTATAACAAAAATAAGGGTTCAGCCCCTATGTTTTTTGAATTTTATTTTGCTTCTTCCTTTTCTTCTCATGAATATGTTGATTTTCTATACTTTAATATGAAATTTATACTTTTCTATTATCTCTGCCAATTCACTTCTCAAGGTAGGCCAATCCAACTTCTACCATTGATCTCTATTGCCAAGGGTGTTCCTTAAAGTCCTTGAAATGATCCACAAAAAATCTTTATTATTTCTTCATGTTGGGCTATTTCTCTCTCTCTACGACCAACTTTGTCATGAAGTTCTTTCTCCTGCCATTAGGCAAAAGGTGAATGTATCTTGAGTTTTCATACAAATCAGCACATCATATGGCTGATACACTGGCCAAACAGGGGGTTACAAGGAACAGTTGTTATGGGAGACAGTAGATAAGAGTTATTAGTGAATCTGGATATCAAAGTAAAAAGGGGTTAGGTGGTGTATTATCAGCCTAAGAAAACTTTTTGTATGGGACCCATTCTCCATAATTTATAAAATCACAATTAACAAGACCACTGAATGGAGCTTCAAAGAAAACGTTCAGGTGAGAAAGTTAAATGGAGGTTTCTTTCTCTTTATTTTTCACAGCAAGGAGGAGAGGCTGATGAAATCCTGGATTGAGAAATAGCTTGGATCAGGATACCAGATCTCAGGTTGGGTAGATGGAATCCGCTAGTGGGGACAATTAAAGAGTTAGATTGTGCATTCGGGATTCTGCTCCATGCTTGGAATCTAAATACGTTCCTGTGATCGTAAATGCATGTGGTTGCTTTAGAAGAGTCGATGCCCGCACGTATAAGTTAATGGGTTCGGTAGCAGAAAGAATACTCGTCAAAGTAGAGAACATACATCTGATCCCCCATAAGCTTGGCATTAAACTTTGCTAGAGAGTGGTGCGACTTGAGGTTGGTGGTTGAAGGTTGCATCCGACTTTGTTAGATTCAGGAGGACTCAGTGGTCCGGCCTGATCGAATTCAAGAGTTAGATTGCTTCGCAGAGGAAAATGGGAAGCTGCTTGAGCAAAAGAACGTAGGCTGGGAGAAGGAAGACGATGGAAAACAAAAGGTTGGGGGGTGTTGGAATTGGAAGGGCAAGTGGAAGAGAGAGAGGGGAGACGTTCGAAAAGTGGGGGGGGGGGTAAATGTAATCATGCAGATGGGAACTGACAAGCCTTTATTTGAAAAGGGACACATATGAGAGTCTTTAAATAGGGGTCGATTCTGATAAAATCATTAACTCCTCGAGAAAGGATTTTGAGAAGACTAACAGTGGGTCCCATGAAATAAGGATAAAGTTGTTTGCTTTTAAGAGGTGCGGGGCCCACAACTTAGGTGAAGGTATTATTGGAATTTGGAGGGGGAAAGTTGAGAAACGAGCTAACAAGAAAGGGGCAGCATACAAGCCTCCTCAGAATGTCTCGAGTATTGGTCTGTTGGTGGTTGACGCTTTTGATGTTTGATCACTTGGGCCTTGCTTTATTAGTTGTGAAGTCTTTTCGAGTTCTAAGGAGTGCCCTCAAGGTAGTTGTGGTGAGGACACGTCCAATGTTTTGGTGCTTGTTCTCATGCAATATGAATAACAAAGAAAGCAAAGCCAAACATAGTGGACAAGTTTTTTTTTTTTTTTTTCTTTTTTGTGTGAAGTGTAAACAAACAGCCTTAAAGAAAAGTGATATGATTCCAAATCAAGGTCCAGGATAACTTTCTAAATTCTACATACATATTGGTGGGCACTAAAGCTTTTATATAACTTAAAAATCTCTTAATAAGGATTAAGGGGATTGATATGTGCTAGTAGCATTAAAGAAAACTGCTCCTATAACTTGGGAAACTGGAGATTTCAGATGTCTCACTCATGGATGAGCAGGTGCCACATTGGATGCCAAGATATATTGTTCCTACCCATAGGGGGTGTCTGGTTTGATGGAGCCTGTGAAACCCTGTTGGTTACATGCCTAAAGTCTTTATTGTCATCTTGCTGATAAAAAAGGACTTTATTGTCATCTTCTCCTTTCTTTCTCTTCTGTATTGTCTTCTTCTATTGTATCGCTCTATCCCATCCATCCAGTCCACAGTAGTTGAATTTTTGTCCTTATAGTTCTACATCAGTGATTTATTGAATAGTGTTTTTCTTGTGCTTTTTTATCAATGCAAAATTCTATTTCTCTCAATTTTCTTTCTTCCGTTTTCTTTTCTTGCAATTCTCCTTCCTCTCTCTCTCTCTCTCCGTTTATCACATCCTCCTGTTTTTCTTTGTTTTATGTCTATTCTCACCTTCTAGAAGTCATCTCTCTAGTCTCTTCTTTACTTTTTTCTCCTGCTGGTCCAAAATATGGGAGTGATGTGGCAAATTCAGAGGGTCCCCTGCCCAAATAGATGGATCACATTAGTGACATAATTCTTCTACGTACAGAAATAGTCATCCATTGATCAAATGGCATGGCTGGTCCTTTGGCAAGAATGGATAGGGTTTTGGCCAATTGTTTTTAAAGTATTAAATGAAATATATGTAGTATAGATCTGTTTTAGAATGGTTATCCTTTCAATTTGGTGCTTGGCACATAAAATCTTTTTATTCCTATAAATATATCTATAAAATTCCTGATTGTTACTTACAGAAACCCTGTAGGGTTGGTAGCAAGCAGGCTTCCCTACATGGCCCTACTAGGGAATTTGCATCTAAACAAAATAGATTTTTTGTTAGATGCATAGGAACTGTGGTAGTGTTTCTCTGGTTAACTTTGTATTTAACTTGTATAAGTGTCTGGAATTGGATGATGTTGGTTGCACAATTCCTATGCCATTTGGTTCAAGCGGTCGGGGCAATACGTTGTTATCTAATAGAATGTTCTGCGAACGGACTGTTAAGAATTTTGCATGTCTATCTGCCTTATTTACAGTGAGATTGTTTTTACATTCTTTGCTCTCACAGTTGTTAAATGCATGAGTACTTCCATTTACAGGTTTGGATGTATGTGAGCAGTTTATGGATGTCAATGAAATGATCAGAGATGAGGATCTTCTTGTCCACAAATTTAATTCCCATGGAGATGAGATGAACTATAGATTCTATACTGCACAATCTGGACACAATATCCAAAACTTAGTTGCAAATATGGTTCCTAGTTTAATTTCTAAAAGACCAAGTGCGAGGGAATTGAATCTCTTGAAACGGAAAGCAAAAATAAATGCAAAAGACCAAATGAAAGGGTGGACAGATGAGGGGGATCTTGAAGTTTCATGTTCTCAAAACTCGGGGACACCAAGGGGGTCATGTTCAGATCCATTAAATTCAAATAAGGTATTATTATTATTATTATGTTTCATCCTTTCTCTGCACATTTGTTTACTTGAGCCCTCTTAGTTTTGGTGGAAGAAATTAAGAATGTTTGTCTTTTCTCTTAGCTTTGTATGTTTTTTTTTTGCCAATTTTCCAGGGTTCTCCCCTCTTTTTCTCCCATTGGTAGAGATTTTTGTCTCAGAAGGGAAAAAAGAAAATTATAATTGGTATTGGTTCTGTTTGTGCCCTTATCAATAGAAAAAAAACTGTGCTGCTATTTGAATGCAATGGGGTCCATACTAGGATCGGAGTCTTACGAGGCAGCCTGATATTGTACTCCCACTTCCGTCCCATCTTTTCCTGACATTGGGTCTGAGCTTAGCTTTGTACGGTACAATGCTATTCATGTTGGACTTAAATTTGTTAGTTGACATGCATTTCCATAACTGATTTATTTGTGTAAAACTATAAATAGAATAAGCTGAAAGCCATATTTAGTCCCTTTTGGTCCCCTCCTCTCTCCGGATTTATAAAAGTGAATTTTGATGGCAGTAGCATAAGGAATCCAGGGCCCTCTGGGATTGGGGGAGTTTTCAGGAATGGGGAAGGGATTGTTATTGCTCTGTTCTCAGGCCCTATTGGAGAAGGAGACTCTCATAGGGCTGAGATCCTTGCAGCAATGGAAGGGGTTCAAAGAGCAAGGGAACTAAATATCAGTTGGCTGATTTTGGAAGGTGATTCAAAGGTGGGGATTAGTTGGTTGAAGAAAGAGGACAGTGGCTTGTGGAGTTACAATAATGAAAAGAAAAAAATTTTATGGCTATGTAGGGGCATTGAGATACAATACAGCTGGGTGAAAAGGACTGCTAATTCTTTTGCAGATGGGTTGGCCAAGCAAGGGGGGCTTTTTTTTGGGCTAATATTTAATTTTCTTTCATTGTAATTTGCTGATGGGGAGCTAAGACTTTTTATCTCCCCTTTATTGTACCTAAAGCTTCATAAATCTTAATAAAGTTTCTGTTATTGATAAAAAAAAGTATAGACACAAGCTGAATTCTTCTTGTGTGGGGCCTATCTCAATACCTGCTATGCTTGACTAGAATTCTGGTTTGTGTTTCCAGAGTTAAAATAAGCAGCTACTTTGCTTGTGCATTTGTTTCATCATTTCAGCTTGCAATTTGGCAGTGTAGAAAACCAGACCGGACCGGCTGGTCAGACCAGCTGAACTGTGATCCGGGGCCCTAGTTGGTTCAGTCACACCCCAAGAACCGTAATGTCAAAAAACCCAGTGAAAACTGGCTGACCATCCGGTTTAACCGGAAAACAGGTCCTAGTTTCATGAAACCACCCAGGTCACTAAGTAATTGAAATTCTAAAGTGAATGTGACAAGACTTGAACCCATGAGGCGCAAGTGCCAATTTGCTCCTGAGGTGCGCACCTTTTTAAGCAAGGCACAAAATTACCAAAAAAAGCTAAAAGATAAAAAAAAGTCAGAAAATAAAAAAAAGCCAAAAATAAATAAATGCAAAAAATATTAAACATATAAAAATATAAACTTAAATTTTAAAATAAATGTTTTAAAAAACCTATTACCTAAAGTTAAAATACATAAACATAACATGTAAGGCATATTCAAATGAAAATTTAAAAATAAATCAAGTATGTAAAACCCACAATCTCTTTTTTCCTTAATTGCATTGCTTCAAGTTGCTAATGTGATGTAAAACATATTGCATTCTTGATTCTATGAGTCACTTTTGTACTATGCCCATCGAGGCAAGCCCGAACAAGTCTATGTTAGGGTCTGAAATTCTTAACTTTGATTGCTGTTAACTAATCCATCTGGGACCATCGGGTGAGAAGGTAAGTTAAATCATGTTGCAATTTTTCTGTTACCAGTTAGCATTCTGTTACCCTAGGTACAGTGCAGTCTTAGGGTTGGGTGTGAATTGACCATAAATCCAACCCATCCTGCCCAACTTGCATCACTAATGATGATGATGATGGTATTTCGGATACATCCACTATTTTTTTTGTTTTCTATGCCAATGACTAGTGATTTAAAAGGCACGCCTCAGGCGCACAAGCGAGAGGCACATTTTAGGGTATGCTTCTCGCCTCGGTCCTCGAGGGGCGTGGCACAAAGGCGGTTCGTAGAATCAGGAATGTAATATGTTTTACATTACATTAGCTATGTGAAGTACTGCAATTGAGTGAAAAAAGAGATTAGTGGTTTTACATGCTTGAAAATGGTTTTTGTTTGATTTTATTTTTAAATTCTCATTTGAATATGCTTTGCATCTTATGTTTATGTATTTAATTTTAGATAATAGGTTTTTTAAAACATTATTTTAAAATCTAACTTTATATTTTTAGTAATATTATGTTTAATATTTTTTGATTTTTTTTTGAAAATTTTGGCATTTTTTTTGAAAATTCTGACATTTTTTTTGATCTTTTAGCTTTTTTTTTTGTTTTGTATTTTTGTATTTTTGTACCTTGCTTCAAAAAGGTGCGCGCCTCGCCTTGCGCCTTTTTTGCGCTTTGCGCTTTTAAAAACTGCCAATGACATTGCATCTATTTTCATGGCTTTTTCTTCTCTTGTTTAATGCCAACTTAGAGGCATTTGGTGGTTCTGCTTGTAATTTTTCTAAGATGTCATACTCTACAGATTTTTGTGGATGCTGTTATGGAAGAGGATGGATTTGAGAGTGAAGGTGATGGGCGGTGGCCTTTCCAGAGTTTTGTTGAACAGCTCATCGTTGATATGTTTGATCCCAGTAAGCACCTTGTATGTTTTAATCCAGCAAGTTCTTTCAATAGTTTTCTTCGGGTTTTTTAATTTCTTTAACAATGTATTTTTGATGGTGGTTATGTCAGCTTGGGAGGTGCGCCATGGCAGTATTATGGCTCTAAGAGAAATTTTATCACATCAAGGTGCTTCAGCTGGTGTGTTTATGTCTGATTCTTGCTCAGAAAGCATGTGGTCAGTTGAATCTGAAGATAGAGTTAATTTGGTTAAAACAAAGAGAGAAAGGGAAATTGATCTGAATGTCCAAGTTGCAGGGGAGGAGTCTGAGCCAGATCTTAAAAGACAAAAACCTGAAGACATGTCATGTTCACTTGTTAATCCAGTAGCAATGGTGGACAAGGACATAAAGATTGATGTCTGCTTAAATTTTGAAGATGGTGAACAGAGTTCCACCACTGTCCAGGTCAATGGTGTACCTAGAAGTGATCTTATTAAGATAAAACCTGATTGTTATCCTGATGGATCTGATTTGCAGTTTAAAGGATTTGATGATATGGCAAAGCATAACAGATCTTTTGCTGATGAAAATTCCATCCAATGGTTGGAGATATTGAAAGGTCTACCCAGTAGCAGCAAATTAATGAAGTTGGTGAAACAAACAAGACACTCATGGATTAAAAATTGGGAATTTCTTCAGGATTGTGCCCTTCGTTTTCTTTGTGTTTTGTCATTAGATCGGTATGCTTTTGATTTTTTATTTGATTTTCTTCTATTGTTTTTGTTCATTCCATAATGTTTCTTTTGAATGTTTTCTTTTGTTCATCTTTTATATATTTTCCCCATGATTTGATCTTACATTCAGTTAATCCTGCTCTTTCTTTCCTCTTGCAGTTTTGGCGATTATGTTTCTGACCAGGTTGTTGCTCCTGTGCGGGAAACTTGTGCACAAGCACTAGGTGCTGTTCTTAAGTACGTGCATCCTTCCTTGGTTCATGAGACACTAAACATTCTGCTGCAAATGCAGGTACTATTACATGAATATATTTATTCCTTCATGTGTTCTAGAAGTCTCAAGTTTTTTTTTTGATGCATCTGCTTTAACATATCTTTATATTTTTTCAGTGTAGACCAGAATGGGAAATTCGTCATGGAAGCCTGTTGGGTATCAAGTATTTGGTTGCTGTCAGAAGGGTAGGATTCTTTATATTGATGTATCTCTAATGTATGCATTGGGTGATTATGTATTATTGGGTTGCCTTTTGGACATGTCACAAAGCCTCTTATCCGAAGGAACTTGTGTTTTTGCGCATGTAGAACCACCATTATGTATATATGTTTGAATGTATGCATGCATGCATGCTAGATATGCACTTATGCATTCATCTTGCACTTTTCATGGATGGATAGGCTTGCCAATTCTTTGATTTGTGATGGATAGGCATACCAATTTAATGGATAAGTAAGTAAAGTTCATCTCACTGATCTAACAGGAAATGATGATTTATTAGATTGGGATAGACATGCTTCTATATCTTAGAAACCTTGGTTTTTGTTGATTGTGTTAATGGCTTGGTTTTTTGAACTTCTATTAGTATTCAAATCTTCGATTTGTGAATGATAATCTCTTGATAGTTGATGTTTTAAGAAGTCTATGTTCTAATTCATGGAATGATTCATGGTGTATATTTGGGCCTTAGTTGTACATTTACCTCCTTCAGGGACTGTATTCGGTTGATATTTTTCATTTTAAGCATCCTCTATGATATTATTTCATGTTCTATGTTTTTTGAGACTATTGTTCTTTTATTTCTGTTCAGGAAATGCTTCATGATCTGCTTGGCTCTGTTCTTCCTGCATGTAAGGCAGGGCTGGAGGATCCAGATGATGATGTCAGAGCAGTGGCTGCTGAGGCTTTGATACCTACTGCTGCTGCAATAGTTTCTCTTAATGGTCACACCTTGCATTCCATAGTTATGCTACTTTGGGATATCTTGCTTGACCTGGATGACCTAAGTCCATCTACCAGTAGGTATGGTCAACACTTTTTTACTGTTCTTTGTTTGTTAGAATGATCCATTGCAGCAAATTTCGGTTCAACATTGTGATCTATTGCAGCAAATTTCTGCTCAATTTTGTGATCCACTACTATATATTTATGCTCCAAACTCCAAAGAAGTGACTTTAGATGCCATGTAGTTGGTTTGATCATGTAGTTGATCTTTTACTTCATAGATATGCTTCAAATCATTGAGCTTGGTATTAGCTTCCTTCACTATGGTGTTTCTCATGTTTTACAAGTTTTACCAATCTGATTTTGTATGGGATTGGGGTCCTACAAGTTTCAGATCTAGTGCTTTTCTTGGTAGTGTGAAAGAGGAAAAGCATGTAGTCAACTTTCTGCCCACCAAAGAATGAGTAAGAAATCAGGAATAGAGAAAAAAGACTCTATTTATAGACAACTTATGAACTGGGGTGTCCCTTTACAGACTCCAGTTTGGACTTGAAACTGACCCAAATAAACTTCTAATAGCTTTAGAACTATGTCAAATCCTTAGGTAACCAATTGGAGCACTCGAATATGTGCTCTTAACATCTAAACATCATTTTCCTTCCTACAAAAACTAATTTAATTTTAAGACTCCAGAAATTACTAAAAATAAGAAATCTTGAATTTAGTAATTTTTGAAACAACAGTAACATTCTGGGAAATTTAAATCATTTTCCTAAGAGACCGACAAATATAAAATAAATTTAAAAAGTTTAAACAATGCCGATATCTTATTACCCAATGAATTCTTTTCTTGCTTCTAGATCTGCACCATATATTGTTTACGATGCACAATGGTAAGAATCCACCATGTGTCCTCTAGCACATTTTTAAGATATGATTATTTCTTCCAGTTGTATGTACAACTAAAGGTGCAGGGGTATTAATGTCTTTATTTTTCCCTTTGTCTCTTCTCTTCTATCTGTTTTCTTCTATGTTTTCCTTTCTTACCTCATTGCAGGTTAGGGTGATCATGAAAAATAAAAAAACCAAACCAATGGGACCAAACCAAACAGTTCAGTTTTGGTTTGGTATTTTTGAAAAACCGAAGGTACTATTCGGGTTTGGTTAATCAAAATAAAATAACCATGGTTAACCGAACCAAACGGTATACATATATATTATATATCTTTCATATATATTTTATATTATCTATATATTATGAATGAACATATATGCATTATATATATAAATAAATATATATATTTATAATATATAATATATTATTTATTATTTGTGATATAATATTTTATTTGTATTTCTAGTTTTTTATTATATATTTATTTTTAATATAGTATAAAAATAAAAAAACTGGAAAACCGACGAACCGAACTGATAGTTAACTGATCTTGTTCAAGTCTGTCCACGTGTCATACTCGTGTTGTGTAAGTGCTAATTTAATAAACATCGTAAAACCAATCTCGCTCACAATAATTAGAAGAATATGTTTTTCATTGCATATTGCTTACTTTGTGGTATAGGGCCCAGCCTCTTTTTGTGTTGAGGGGGTTGTCATCATTTTATTAGTTTCATTTTTGACCACTCTATCGTCTTTGATCCATAGAGGAGGTTCCCAAAGTCATTTTCTTTTTTTTTGATGAATGAAGATAACTTTATTAAACCAGAGATCTAAGGCTTTACAAGAAACGCATGGAGAGGCACTAGCTGTTACCTCTTATACCATAGTATTGCATCAAGTTAAGATAGGAGTAAAATAGAAATAAAATTGAAGTGCATCCCGCATAGGTGCTTTTTGCTGGGAAACTATCCTAGAAAAGTGTAACATGACCTACTTCAAAAGAAAAGGCCTAATTGGTGTTTATCCCCGCACTGGTGCATTTTATGTAAGAAGAATGGTGAAAGCTGCTATCACTTGTTAGTTTCTTGTCCCTTTGTTTTAGATATCTGGTGTTGGTTTTTCTCCTTATTTGGTTGCAAGTGGCCCTCCCCTTCAAGTGTGCAGAGCTTGTTTAGTTCTACATCAGTGAGGGGTTTAAAAAAGAGAGGTAAAATCTTGTAGAGATGTGTTAGAGCAGCTGTTTGTTGGACGGTGTGTCAGGAAAGAAATCAAAGAGTTTTTCATGAAAAAGAAAAAAGTAAGGAAGCCATCATTGAATTAATATATTTTTTAGGGTGGTTCACTGGGTCAAGTCTATGAAGCTCTTTGAAGGCTATTCAGCAGGAGACATCATTAGAAATTGGAAAGAAGTGGCTTGGTCTGCTCCCATGTCTACTTCCCTTAGTCCAACTTGGACTCCGCCAGCCTTGGGATTCATTAAATTGAATTTTGATGGCAGCAGTGAAGGAAATCCAGGCCTATCAGGTATAGGTGGTGTTTTCAGGGATGAAGAAGGTCGAATTATCTATAGGTTGGGGATTCATTGAGAGTTGTAATTTTGGCAGCTCTGGAAGGGATCAAAAGAGCTAAGCAGCTGAATATCAGTAATCTGTTGGTGGAAGGTGACTCTCGGCTGACTGTTAGATGGCTGCAGAAGGAAGAGTCCAATCTGTGGAAGTTTTCAAATGAAAAAAGAAAATTACACAGCTAACTCAAAATATGCAAATTAGGGTTCAATGGCCAAGAGGAGTGCTAACTCTATGGCAGACACTTTGGCTAAACAGGGGGTCGGAAGAGCAAATTTCTTTTGGGCTCTGTTGTAATCTGTTTTTTCTGTTTTGTCAGGGAGGGTTAAGCATCCACTAAGGTATTTGTGAGCCAATTAACTTTCCTTAATAAGTTGTTGTATCGCCATATAGCTGAGCTTGGATCTGTCAAGTGTCAGCCATCCCACAACAATTTTGGAGTCTCCTTCAATTACCAAATTCTGAACTCCTAATTGTTCTGCAATCTGAATACCTTGTACAGTCACTAAAATCTCAGCTCTATTAGAGTCTCCTATTCTCACGGGGCCTGGAAACAAGGCTAAGATGCTGCTATCCTGATCTCTCAGCACCCCTTCTATCCCCGATGGGCCTGGATTTCCTAGGCTGCTACCATCAAAATTCAGCTTTACCCAACCTTCAGATGGAGGCATCCACACTACAGATTTCCTCTCCTTCCTCGTATGACACTATTAGCCACCGCTATCCAGTTTCTCCAAATATCATCAAAGGAAAAAATATGAAAGGAGTTCACAGTTCTCAACCAATGAATGGCCCTAGTCATGATACAATCCTTCACAGCCTGAATGCTTCTTTCCTCTTCTTTGAATAACCTTGCATTTCTTTCTTCCCAGATTGTCCACAAGGCAGCTGCTCTAATACATCTCCACACAGTTCTTCCTTTTTTTGCAGGCCACACAAAGAAGGAAGGATCAAATAACTGCACCCAAACAAAGCAAAAATCGAACTCCAATTAGCAACAGAAAAGGAACAAGATAGAAGTTAGTGGAGCAATCCTCACCACTAGCCCTGCAAAATACACACCAGTTAGGGGACAAGCACATGAAAGGCCGTTTCTTCTACAAGCAATCCAAGGTATTGAACTTTCTATAAAACACCTCCTAGTAGAAAATAATAATTTTAGGTGGAACAGGTCTAGTCCATATTTCCTTGGTCGGAAAACCCAACTATTTCTCCTTGGTCTGGGGAAGAACAAAGGGCCTTAAAAAAGGAAGCATAAGTGAAGTAACCTTTAGGATGAGGGGACCATAATCTCACATCCAATCTAAGAGGGTTCAAAAAAGCACTACCAAGAAGAGACAACATGTCTGAAACACTAATAAATTCATCATCCCTCAAGCCTCTACTAAAACCAAAGTCCCAACTTAAGGAGGAGGGTGAGGCAGGTGTTGGGAGAAAGTGAGAGATATCTTTTTCCATGTAGAGGGAAAGGGAATAGAGGGACGGGAACCGGTCCTTAAGGGCAGAGGTACCCACCCAAATGTCTTCCCAAAAGAAAACAGAGTTACCAGAGTTGACATCATACCTGACATAATTGAGAAATTGTGGGAGGATACACTGGATTGCTTTTCACAGAGTTTCCAATGTAGCTCGACGCGATACACCAACATCCCATACATATTCCAATCTACCATATATGCTAGCTATCAATTCATGCCACAACCTCTCCCTTTCTAAGGGCCACCTCCGCGACAATTTTCCTAAGAGAGCTTGATTCTTGAGAACTAGCCTTCCTAATCCTAGTCCACCCTCCTCTTTACTCCTACAAACTATTTCCCAGTTAATTAAGTAATCTTTCTTTTCCTCCCTTGGCTTCCAAAGAAAATTTCTCATTAATCTCTCCAACTTCTTAGCTTCCCTAATAGGAATCCTAAAGACAGAGAAAAAATAGGCTGGTAGGTTTGCTAGGGTGGCTCTCAATAAAGTCAGTCAACCTTCTAGAGAGATGTAGTTCTTTTTCCAAAAGGCTAATCTTTTCTCAAACATTTCCAAAATTGGGTCCAAAAACTACTCTCCTTTGGGTTAGCACCTAGAGGGAGACCTAGGTATTGCAAGGGCCAAGAAGAAATGGGACAACCTAAACAATCCGCCACAGATTCAAGAACCCTCTCATTCACATTAACACCTACCACCCAACTCTTGTCTAGGTTTTTCTTCAAATTGGAGACATTCTCAAAGTGTTGTACCAGGGACCTAGGATTCCTCACTTCTCGCCTATCACCCCCATCACAGAAGATTGTAGATGCTTGTCAGTAGGCTAATCAGTCTAAAATCCTTTGGGTCCTTTGCATCTATCTTCTTTGGGATTAGGGCTAAGAAGGTAGCATTAACTTCAATAGTATTGATAGAAAGCCATGGTGAAGCCATCTGGACCAGGTGCTTTGGATCTATCAATTGAAAACACCACCTGCCTGATCTCCTCTTCACTAAAATCCCTTTTTATCCAGTTTACTTGTTCTTTAGACAGCCTAGTCCAATCCATTCCTTCCAATCTTGGCCTATTATTCAACGGTTTCCTATAGATTAATTTGAAATGATCCACAAACAATTTGGCTATCTCATCTTGATTTATGTCTTCCTCTCCATTCACTTCTTCCTTAGCCACAAAATTTTTTTCTTCCAATTCCTTCTTTAGATTTCTTCTCAACACCCTTTCTTTCTCCTCATAATTCTTTGAGCTTCTTTGGAATCTAGTTCCTCAAATCCGGGACACCAAGTTAGTTTTTTGCTCCTCTATCCTTCCAAAGTGCTCCCTGTTCCACCCCTTGATATTGGATCTCAGTCTTTTCAGCTTTTTGTGGAATCTCACTCCCTTCCACTTCACCCCTTTCAAATCTCTACCATTTCCCAACCAAGTGCACAAGTCTGGGTGAGTTAACCACATATTCTCAAATCTAAATGGTCGTGGACTGGAGCCTAGATTTTCAAGACTTAATTCAATAGGGCAGTGATCAGAAGTGACTCTGGGTAAAGCTTTAGCCACCAAATTCCTCCAATGATTCTCCCACTCTTCATTAACGAGGAATCTATCTAGTTTCAAGCAAAGGGGATTTCCATGGAAATTAGACAATTTTAAATCGGTTGTTAAGAGCGGTAAATCCTTAAGGCCACAAGTATTAATCAGTGACTTTCTCATGCTGGTTGTAACTGATCTTTGGGGGTTGTTAGATTCATTACAAAACTTAATTACATTGACACCCCCCCACCACCCCAAGACACCAAGGACCATCCCATAGACATCTTATACCATACAACTCTTCCCACATCTCATTCCTTTCTCCATAAGTTTTTGGCTCATAGACATTGGTTAGAACCCAGGTGAAACCATCGCACACATTCCTGAACTTTAAAGGCACAGAAAATCTCCCTATGAGCTCCTCTACTAATTCTATAGCATCCTCCCTCCATAAAGTAACTAGACCTCCAGAGGCTCCCCAAGAAAGAGACGAAGTCCAACAAACTCTTCTTGATCTCCACACACTTCTGACCCATCTTCCGTCCAATTCTGCCAGCTTGGATTCCTGTAACAACACTATTTCTGGTTTCTCTCTTCTTAGTAAGTTTTTAATTGCCCTTCTCTTTCTTTCACGCGCTAGACCTCTCATGTTCCAGCTGATGATTTTCATTGAAAATCATGTTTCAGAAAACGCTTCCCAACAAGCTCCACCTTATAGAAGAACCTTTCTTCTTTCCCCTCTACCACTGAATTCAGTGTCACCCTCAATATCTGAGATTAATCTCTCCACTTCTGACCTTTTCTTCTTTTTGTTTTTTTTTTTCTTTTCATATTTCCCTCGGTCTTACTGGTTGATGCACTGGCTTCGGCAACCCCTCTCCCCCCCTCCCAAATTAGAGCTTTTGTCACAGCCCATCTGAGGAGTTACCGCTCACTCCCTGTGATCTAATCCCTCCTTCTCTTTATACTCCTCCAGCAATGTACAGATCTGCTCCCATATCTTCTCTAGTTCCTCCTCCTGTCTCTCTTTAGGTGCCACTTCTCCCTCTATCAGCGCACTTTCAAAATTGCCATTTTCTCTACTCTTCGCCTCATCTGGAACTTCCACTTGGGATGCTGGAGTATCTGTTTCAAGTACAGGAGGCACATTAGTAACCAAAAACGAATGGGCAACAATACCTGTGTTGTTGGGGACCAAGGGGACATCTTCCGAGGGAAGGGAACCAGCATAAGGAGGCAGGCCTAAACCTGGTCCCTGTGATTGGCTTTGCATTGGAGAGTTTACAGTAGGATTCAATACCTTGTTAACTTTAACAGCCGAGCTCGTCTTCTGGTGCTGTCCATTTTCTGGTGTTACATTATAGATCAAGTGTTAGGTTCTTTCCCTTCCAAAACCATATCCTGTTTTTCCTGAGCTACTGGACTGACTTCCCTTGCGAGTGCAGGCAACACCTGAGCCACAGCCGTGGTCTTCGCCAGCTGATCCATTAATCTCACAACATGATCCTCAACTGTTTGTGAATCAGCTTCCTTGTTCTCTCATTCAAACAGGTGTTTGAAGAAGGAGCTTTAATGCCATTTGTTACAGATAAAAGCTTGCTCGCCCTTTTTTTCTGTGTTATTGTCTCTTTCTTGCAGGTCTACCAACCCCTTGCTGCCACGTAAGGTTTCTTTTTCAATCTTGCCGTCTTCCTCCCTTCGAGCTTCCCTCCACAGTTCAGCTTCTATGGAGGAAGCCAACCAGACTGCCAAGAAAGCTCCTTCAACTCACAAGTTCACTTTCCTGGGGACCTCCTCAGGCTTGACTCCATTTAATAGGATTGCTATAGACCTGAGATCTCCCCAGAAAGCACCAGGCAGTCTTACTCCACACAATACTGCAATGGCTTCTGCTACTTCATCATTCCGAAGATGGAATTGTAAACCAACCATGCACTATCACCCTGTCCAGAATCGAGGAATCCTTTGAATTTGATGAAGGTTCCCAAAGTCATTCAAGATTTTCATTTGATGGTTTTCACCCAATTTCAGAAAAAAATTCTATTGGTTAATTTAATTGAAGGGTGATTTAAAAGATGTTCATTCATGTATCAATAAACTTCCTTTTTCTCATTTTACTTGTAACCTTCTTTCATTTCTTTTAGGTTTTCTTGTCTGATGTTTCTCTTCCTAAGAATGTTATAGAAACCCTTGCTCTACTTGAGTGGACAAATGCTATGAAGGGAGAAATTTGTCCCTACATAAGAATAATACATGGGAATTAGTTTCTGAGAAACAAGAACCTGTTGTGGATGAATGGGTGAGTGGACAAATGCTATTTATAAAGGTGTTCATTCATGTATCACTAAACTTCCTTTTTCTCATTTTACTTCTTTTAACCTTCTTTCATTTCTTTTAGGATTTCTTGTTTGATGTGGCTGATGTTTCTCTTCCTAAGAATGTTATAGATGTCCTTGCTCTACTTGAGTGGACTAATGCTATGAAGGGAGAAATTTGTCCCTACATAAGAATAACACATGTGAATTAGTTTCTGAAAAACAAGAACCTGTTGTGGGTCAGTGGTTGTTAACATTGGGCGGATGGCTCAGTGAAGAGATACAAAGCAAGATTAGTTGCAAAGGGTTTCTCCTAGGCGTATGGTGTGGATTATGTTGAAACCTTCCCCCTTATTGCTAAAATGAACTCTATACAAGTTTTACTAATTGGCAGCAACATATGATTGGGATCTTCATCCGTTGAACATTAATATTGCTTTTCTTAATTTGGACATTGGGGAGGAGGTGTATATGGTAAAACCCCTTAGATTCCAAGTTAAAAGGTAGTGGATATTGGGTGGTAGACCCCTTGCAGTTGTTGGTAGTGTTAGGCTGATCACACATTATTTGTGAAGAGGGAGTGTGTTAATATTGCGGCTTTGATTGTTTCTTTGGATGACTTTGTCATGACTAGTAACTAGGAATCAGAAACAAAGATGTTGAGACAATACTTGATATTTCAGTTTGAAGGAAAGGATGTAGGACTTTTCTTCTGGATTCTGGAAAGCTGAGGGTCAAACTAGTTGACACACCTATTGAGCTTAAGCACAGGATGGTGAAAAGTGAAGGTTGATTTCTTCCAGAAATTGCCTATGTTGTGGGTTTTCATAATATACGCACTCATCGTAGAAGTCTCATCTTATGGCTGCATAAAGCGTGCATAGAAACTTGAAGAAGCACCCTGGCCTGGCATTTTTTTTTTGCTAAACATGACCATATGAAGGTAGAAATATACATTGGTGCTGATTGGGCCGGATCAGCATATGACAGGAGATCTACCTTGAAGAGCAAAATGCAGGTGGTGGTTGGTGGGTTATAGTGCAGAAGCTGACTACCACACTATGGCTCATGGAGTGGCTGAAGCGTTCTGGATTAAGCACCTTCTTGGAGAGTTGGGATTCCCAGTTGACAGCTCCATGCCCCTTTACATGAATGAATGAAGCATATTGAAGCTCATAAGCATTTCATTAGAAAGAAATGAAATGTAAATGCAAGGAGCAACTAGATGTATTTATGGAGGATGTAAATGTTCGCTCGCCCTCATGTTGGGAATGATAGGAATTTTTTACCCAACTTGAGGGTGAGTTTTATAATATGTACTACTAGAGGCAATGTTTTAAAAGAGCAAGGCGCAAAAAAACGCAAGGGGCATTTTGTCCCCAAGCTGTAATTAAAAATATAAACTTAAAATTTAAAATAAATGTGTTAAAAAACTTATTATCTCAAATTAAAATGCATAAATGTAACATGTAAAACATATTTATAATGAAAATTCAAAAATAAAATCAATCATAACATATTAAACATGTTCAAGTGTAAACTCTCAATTTCTTTATTTTCACCGAATTGCTTTACTTCAAATAGCTAATGTGATGTTAAACATTACGCGTTCTTGATTTTATGTGCTGCTTTTGTACCAAGCCCCTCGAGGCAAGCCCAAACAAGTCTGTACTAGGGTCCTAAATTCTTAATCCCTATAAAAATGGTTTTATAATTTTAAAACCAGGTGCACCAGGCATGTGCCTCGCCTGTGTGGTGACTGTTGGTTCCCTTGGGCAGGCTAATTGCTGTGTTGGTTCTAAATGCATGTTATTTTCCACCATTTCACTTTGATTTGATTAGCTTGTATTTTGCATCATAGTGGGGTTTTTGTACACATTTGTATTTTCTTAGTTCATTCTTCAAGTTGAGGTGTACATAGAGACTGGATCCAGTTATCTGCATGACAGTGTCATGATGGTGCTTGGTTGGCAGGTTATCATTTGTTGCCTGACATTGATGTTTATGTTATGAATGAAACACTTAAATATTTGTGGTTTGGTTTCCAGTGTCATGAATTTACTGGCAGAAGTCTATTCTGAGGAAGAGATGATTCCAAAGATGTATGGAGCATTGACCTTGAAAGAGAAACAAGACTTTGATCTGAATGAATTGGTTCAGGTTGATCAGCACGGTGGTGGAATTAAGTCTGAAGAAAATCCTTACATGTTATCAACATTGGCTCCACGTCTATGGCCATTTATGAGACATAGTATTACATCTGTTCGACATTCAGCTATACGTACATTGGTAAACTTTTCCCACCTCCACATGTTCATTGTTTTGCAAACATCTTTTATTGTTCTTGTTCATGTCCTTGTATATGTGTTTGTGAGTTTCCTTGTCTTTTAATTTAAGGGGCCATTTCCTTGCATATGTGTTTGTCTCTATCCATTCTACCCTCCTATGGCCCAAATAAGCAGGACTGTTATTTGTTAGTGTTCCTTTTCCTCTAATCTTTAGGGGTTGCTTATTGTTATTATTATTTTTTCAATGAAAAACATGATTTTCTGCCCTTTTCTTCTTCTTCTTCTTCTTGTTATTATTATTTTCTCCCTTGTTTTCTTCTTGGAAGATCGGTCTTTGCTCCTTTTGTATAGAAGTTTGGGATTCACCTCTTTTGTTTTTCTTGTTCTTCTCCATTTACTTCCTTTTAAGGGGAGCTCTACTTTGGATCCTGAGTTTTTTGTTCGTAATCATTATTTGAAAGTGAACACTGCAATAATGCTTGGTTGAGGCCAGAATTTGGCAAGGGTTGGGACGAGGGTGGGTAAAGAAGCTAGGTCATTCTTTGAAAGTGAAAACTGCAATAATGCTCAATAGTTTTTGCACATTATATGATGACAACAATTTTATAGGCGGACATTTACGTGGCCATGTTGGAAAAAGAAGTGTAAGATATTGTGTGGTGCATATTTAACAACAGTTTGAGGGGATGGACCAAGAGATACAAATAACATTTAAAATATTTCAAACATGAATTATGTATTCTCCTTACTAGGACAATAGTACAAATTTTGTGTGAAGGATTATGAATGAAGAAGTTATCACCGGGAATGTTTAACCACGACATAGATAGTGGTGGTAAAAGTGCACATAAGGAAATGGAAGAGAAATAGGATAGAAAATAGGTGTTCAATAATTAGGTGGGAGATCTAAAGGGAGAAAAATTAGCACAATTTATAGGTTGGCTCATAGTAGAAGGAAAATGGGATGTAGATGGAAACACTAATGAGATGTAGCTTGAAATTGCAAACTGCATCAAGAAAGTAGCAAATGATGTTTTAGGAGAATCTAAAGGGAATTGGAAAAGTGTTAATGAAACTTTGTGGGGGAATGAAGAGGGGTTCATAACATAATCAGGTTAAATTGAGCATGTTATAAAGACTGGTAAAAATCTAAAAATAAAGAAAACTTGCAAAAATATAAAACCATATGATATTCTTAAAAAAATATAAAACCATATGATGAGAGCTATCATAAACAAGGTAGCAAAGAGGGAGAAAAATGAATTTATAAACTAGAAAAGGGAAAATCTATCGTACTGGAGAGACATGGTACAAGAAGACCTTTGACCAATCAAAGCACCCCTGTGAATGTTTTTTTGACTAGTAGCACCCCTGTGAATGTTGATGAATACGACCTAATTAGTCACATCTTTTATGATTCTGGTTTATCCGGTATCTTAGTCAAACGCTTTGAAAAATTATTTAATGAACAGCATACAAAGGGCACTAGAAGAGAGATTAGTAATACAAATAGTGTTGGAAATGGCATGTACCTCGTAAAATTAGAATTCCTGAAATGAAAGAAGTGATAAATATGATGAAGAAGGAAAAGGTGTTAAGTCCAGATGGTATTCCGATAGAGGTAGGAAAGTTATAAAAAAGGTACGCTTATTATGGGTAACTAAGCTATTTAATTAGATAACTGGAGAAAATAAGATACATAATGAATGGAGAAAAAGTAGTATAGTGCTTATATTTAAGAACAAAGGTGATATACAAATTGTGATAACTATTAGGAGATTAAGCTCATGACCCGCACTTTTAAACTTTGGGAGAGAATAATTGAGGATTACGTCATGACCCTAGTATATCGGAAAAGCAATTTCGGTTTATACTAGGGAGCAGCCACGGAAGCTATCTTTCCTTTTAGCTGATTGATAGAAAAGTTTAGAGAGAAGAGAGATCGCAATGTGCCAACCAGCTGGTTGGTAAGGTCTCTCCTGTTGGTCGTAGCGGAGACTTGGGATCGAATCACGCCTGCACCTGGGTTGGGGGATGGGCTACCCCCTATTGTGTAGCCCTTCAAAAGATTAAAAAAAAGGAGAGATCTCCAAATGTTGGAAAAGAAGGGAATCACCAATAGCCATATAGATCTAATTAAGGATATTACGAAAGTGCAATAAGAAATGTTAGAATACTTGTTGGAGGGACATTAGATTTTGCAGTTGTGGGTCTTTACCAAGGTTCAGCACTCAACTCTTATATATATGCATTAGTCACAACTGAATCGGCTAAACATATTCAAAAAAGAGTTCTCATGGTGCTTGTTGTTTGCTAATGACATTGTTGTAATTGATGAAACTAATGAAGGATTAAATGCAAAATTAAGATTATGGACAAACACCCTAGAACCATTTGGTTTTAAAATAATTAGGACGGAGATAGAATATATATATGATATGTAATTTTAATGATAATAGTAGTGCAAGTGAGAATGCACATGCAAAGCTGGTTTGTTTCCCAGCAGGAAGACTACGTCAAGGTTGGAGGGGAATGTGTAGTGTGCTTGAGGAATTTTTTCTCCATGGAGGTCCAGTATGTTTGGAAACATGGAGCAAGAGCCAGTGATTGTAGCAAAAGCCAATGGACAGTTCAAGGTGATGGAACATTCGAAGAAGGAAAAATGGATTAGTAAGTTCATAATAGAGGTAGGGTTGCAATCTGTTGACTGGAAGAGAGTTGTAGATTACTTGATCTTGAATCTAAAGCTGGAGAGTGAGTTTCTTGTAACTCCCTTTGATAAATGTAAAGCTCTAGTTGATTTTGGGGAGAACAGAGTAGACTTCTCAACAGTTAATTTTCAGACTGATCTGGGAACTATTACAATCTTTAGATGGAATCCTCTCTCTAATGCCAAAAACTTTTCTATTGAAGATGGAGTTCTGGTACGGATAATCGGATTGCCTTTCCATCTTTGGAGGCAAGAAGTAGCAGATGCCATTGCACTGATGTGTGGAGGGAGACCTCCATTCTGTAGTTATTCTCCTGAGCGGAGTGAGGCCTGAAGATATACCAAGGAAGGTGGAAATAAGAGTGGAGGGTGTTTTCGTTTCAATCTGGTTGGCTTCCTCCATTGAAGTAGGCTTGTGGAAGGAAGCTAGAATGGAGGCTTAATGAAGGGATGGGAGAGCCAAAAAGACTGGAAGTTATACTAAAATGGACCAACAACTTTTGGAGAGCCAAAAAGACTTGGGGCATATGGAAAGTCAGAGGCTTAATGAAGGGATGGGAGATCCATCATATGGATGGTCGAACCCTGCAGGAAGGTTCGGCGAAATTTCAAAAAAATTCTTTCACTCCCATCCGGGATTTGTATTCCCCAATTTAGAAATTTGCATTTTCAAGGTCTGTTCTTGAATCCAAAACCGGACCAGGTCTGAAACCATTAGGAAGTGAGAGATGTACCTGATACGAAGTAGCATGAACTCCCAACGCAGGTGTTCACGCCCAATGAAAAGACCAAAGCCCACTTCCACTGAAGATGACACAATGTGTAGTGAAGCAGGATCAGTAGGATGGTTCTTCAGCAAGAATCGAGTAAGGGTTGGTGAGCAATATCAAGAACTGGGTAGGGGTGGCAATAACCGGGGAAGAATTCTGCAGTTTGCTTTTGTGTAAATCTGAGGAATTCGCCCCCTTATTTATAGCCTTCTCTGGATCAGCCTCCTAATCTAATTAGGAGAGAGTTTCCTAATCCAAATCTGATATTTGGATCTGGACTCTTAAATGGATAAGACTTATCTTATCCTTCAGCTAATCCTAATCAGCGCAAAAGCTGAATTCGCCCCCTTTTAATTTAACTAACTTAAGCCCAGTTTGAATTGGGCCTTAAGCCCATTAAGCTTATGTGCTCACTTACTCTTTAATCTGCTGGCCTAGTTGGCTCTCATTGTATGGCGCGGGACCCTAACTCTGATCTACAGTGAACCCCTGAGTCCATCACCATGGGCTCTCAATGGGCCCAACATTTACACAATGGTTCTTGGATCCAGCCACCTTATGAAAACCCAAGAACTGTGGGCAGATGCAAGATTAGCCCATCAGGCATTACCCTCAATGGTTTTACACTTAACCTCTCATCCCTTAATGATCAAACACTGCCCAACAAGAGAGGACCTCTCCCTCGGCTACAAGGTGCAATGCTGCACTCTCTACTCACATGGACCCCGGGAATTAAAACCTTTTGCAAACATTTTGAAACCATAATATATATATGTATAAATATATATTTTGCAAAAACAAATCTCAACGTTGGAATTCAACTGTCGGCAGTTTAGTTTTCCATCAGAGAGAGTCCATTACCTGGTCATTCACTTTGTCCGACAAAGGGGATGATTATGTCACTATGATCACCCACTCAAGTGAATTCTCAGACTGCTCCAACATACCCAAGTTTTGACCTCCTCTAAGGATCTCACTGATTGGCATATCAAAGACAGCCCAATCCAACACCTAGTGCAGTACCATAATCGAGTCTAGGGGTTAGGTGTAATTTTTCAGTTTTGCCCATCTGTCTCCAAGGTCCAAGGCAATACTGGAAATTGGTCCAGTTCAGGGTTTCAAAAAAACCCACACTGCATGTACTTTAGGTCTCACCAGGGTAGCTAAGACAAGCCACCCCAACCAACTTGGTGGGACATCAGTGTCAGCCTTGGCAAGATAGACCTCCCAAGATCTATTCAACGGCTGTGAAGATTCTAAACTAACACGAGTCTCATAAGTGTCCAGTTTTTGGGTAAAAACACAAACATTCCACTTAAAAAGCAAGTTGAAGTAAGAAATAAGGTGGTTGAACCGGGAGTTGAGGTGGGTCAACTTGGTGGGCCAAGTAGTCTTGTGGGGTCGGCTAAGAGCACTGAACCCATGGACCCTGTTATTTCTCCCAGGCCTAGGGTGAGAGGAAATCTTAATTCTGTTGGGCCCAGTTTTAAGGCCATAACTAATAAGGACAAGGTTAAGTCA